CTTTATATCCTTTCTACACAGCCAATAAAACTCCTTGATCTCATTACAGCCAGCAAACTCTATGCAGCCAACCACAACCACTGGGCCATTTGGTTTCAGTCATTTCGAACCAATCTACTTAACCAGTTTTTCAGGTTGGAAATAATGGGAGATGTTTTATGAACTACATTTTGTATAGCACTTAGAATTAAAGAGATTTACATTTATTCTCTAATTGAGATGGTAGACAATGAGCTGACATTCTGGGATTTTTTTTTTTTTTTTTAGAAAAATCATCATATTGTTGGCAATGGCAGATTAATGAAGCAGTTCTGACCAAAAGTATTTTAGCAGATTCTGATTAACAAACTCCTCATTTGAGAAACCCATAAAATCGTTTTCATCTTCAATTAATGGCACATATACAAATTATTAACAATATGAACAATGTGCTGACACCACAGAATTCTCTAAAAGGGTCCATAGAGTAATAGCCCATGGGGCTCCTGTCAGTGGGTCAAAGTCCCCTCTGTCTTTCCTGGAAACATTGCTGTGGGTGGAGGATAGAATGCTTAGAAATCCCTCACCAAACTTCTGCCTACTCAAGTTTCCTGTCCAAGCCCCAGCACACACTACCATATCTCTAGTACATGTGGCTGATGAGAGACTGTAAAAACATGTCACCAGAATCCACTAACATCCTAAGATGCTCTCTGTAACTTTTAAATTTTGTTAATATTTAAGAAGAAAATCTAAGCCTGGTGGTGGTGGCGAATGTTGTTAATCCCAGAACTCAAGAGGCAGAGGCAGGTAGAACTCTGTGAGTTTGAGGCCAACATGGTCTACAGAGAGAGTTCCAAGACAGCCAAAGATACATAGAGAAACACTGTCTTGGAAAATAAAACAACAAAAAGTAAATCTATGTATTTGGGGAGTGGTACAGATGGTTCTGGGTGTTGAACCTAGGCCCATGTATACACTAAGCAGGTACTGGTACTCTACAATCAAGCTACACACCCGGCCAAAGCATGTATTTCATCCCTAAATAGTTCTAACTTTAAATGAGTCCATTTCATTCACTTTAAAATTATAACTAGGGGCTGGAGAGATGGCTCAGAGGTTAACAGCACTGCCTGCTCTTCCAGCGGTTCCGAGTTCAATTCTTAGCAATCTCATAGTGGCTAAGAGCCATCTATAATGAGATCTGGTGCCCTCTTCTGGCCTGCAGAGATACATGCAAGCAGAATACTGTATACATAATAAACAAATAAATCTTTAGGAAAAATGGGGCCAGGAGTTGGTGGCACATGCCTTTAATCCCAGCACTCAGGAGACAGAGGCAGGCTGGTCTCTGTGAATTTGAGGCCATCCTGGTCTACAGAGTTAGTTTCAGGACAACCTCCAAAACAATACAAAGAAACCATGTCTCAAAAAACCCCAAAAATTAAAAAATAAAATAAAATTATAACTAGATGTGCAGGGGCAGGGTAGAGAGACAGCTCAGAGGTTAAAATATTTACTGTTCTTGCAGAGGACCTAGGTTTGGTTCCCAGAACCCAAATTGTGGCTCACAATCATCCATATCTCCAACTCTAGAGGAATCAGATATCCTTTTCTGGATCCTCAGGTACCAGACACACATATGAGGTACACACACATACATGAGGCAAACACACACATGAAAAAGGGAATACATTTTAATGCTATAAATGTAATTACTTTATAAAATATCTGGTATATGCTAATGTCAGAAAAAAAGAAATTCCAGGCTTTAGAGAAAATTTTATGCAGATAAGTTCCAGATAAAGTTGTAATTTTGTAAAAAGTTAGTATTTAATGTCCCTCCAAAACTACATTCTCCAAGCTAAAAACTGTTTAGGTTGAGGTTTTTTTTTGGGGGGGGGTGTTTTGTTTCTCACTGTTAATTAATCTACCAATTTCTTTAGTTCTTAAGATTGATTTCTGTTATAAGGGTTTCAGTAAAGTTCAGTTAAAGTTTAGCTCAATAGAAACAGGTTCTGCACATATTAATAAAAGCACAGGCCTGTTCTATTCAATTTATGATATTAAAAATTATGCTGGCAAATTAGAATTATTTCCCATCATACACATTCCCACATATCTTGATACAGTCATTCCTCTCTAAGATGGTGGTGTGGGAAGAAAACTTACTCTAAAAGAAAGAAAGAAAGAAAGAAAGAAAGAAAGAAAGAAAGAAAGAAAGAAAGAAAGAAAGGAAGGAAGGAAGGAAGGAAGGAAGGAAGGAAGGAAGGGAAGAAGGAAGAAAACACTGGAGGGTCTCTGGTCCTATTTAGTTATCAATATCATTGTGTAAACTATCTTTTAATTGATGCCTGCTATTTCATGCCATTGAACACAATAGGAAAAAAATGAATTGATTTCACTACTGATATTTGTCTTTAAAAGCATACAAAAAATATCTCACTGCTTCATGGTGTGAAAATGTTTTTTAAACTTAAAGCAATGATGTTCATTCTGACAAGAAACAATGAGGAATGGCTATAAAAATGCTGATCTTTCATTCTGTTGGGCACAAATCAACTTTCCTATACTACTGTAAAACATCTAAGTCATGAGGAGTGAGCGGCATGTCTACAGAGGTAAAGGTGTTTTTCATGCAAGTCCGACAATCTGAGTCCTGACCCTGGAACCCATATAGGGGTAGGAGGAATCAGGTCCACAAAATTGTCCTCTGACCTCAATATGCATACCGTGTCACATGTGCCCACATATACATCACACACACACACACACACACACACACACACACACACACACACACACAAAGTCATGAAAGCTGAAGACAAAGCGAGGAACTTCTGTAGATCAAAAGAGGTGACAACTACATGCAGTTCTTGAACCTGGCTTAGAAGTAGACCCAGAGTGTACACATGGGCCTGCACACCAAGACTAAAAACAGTGGTAGATTGTACAAACATATGACAACAACATTGGTTGCCTAACTGTGGTCACTAAACTGGGAAAATGTAAGAAGTGTTCCTAGAAAATACACAATAAGGAAATTAGGCACTGATGTTTTCAACTTACTCTGAAATATGGAGAACACTGGGCTAAGTGAGAAGGAAGCACCGGTGGAGAATTCTCTGGAGGCTTTAAGAGCTCACTATGATGTCCTTGCAGCTTGCCTACGTCTGAAGTTATTTCAAAGCAAAAAATCAAGCAAAATATTCTATAAGCTGACACAAGAGTACTAAAAATCTATAACCTTTAGGATATTTAAACTTCATCTCTGGAGAAACCACTTTTGTCTTAGTATTTTATACAATTATACCAAAACATAAACAAATCTAATTTTTCTTTCTATTAAATGCCGTCCTCCTCCATTGTGTTGTATTTTGTTGGGGTGGGGAAGGGAGAAATACTTTCACTTCTACATTTTACTTGGGGTGGCATGTATATGCTACTGTAGATGTGTGGAGCTCAGAGGACAATGGTTGCAGAGTTGGTTCTCACCTTTCACCTTGTGGAGACAGAGTATATCTTGTTTCTACTATGTTGTGTGCTCCAGGCTCACGGCCTGAGAGCCAGAGGCATATGTCCTGTCTCTGTTTCCTATCTAGCCACAGAATACCGTGGTGACAGATGCATGCCACTCCATCAGGCTTTTTTAGATGGGTTCCAGGGATCCAACTCAGATGTCCAGGCTTTCACTGCTAGTATATAGGCCCAATGAGCCTCTCTGCTGCTTGTTTTTATTTTGTTTTGCTTTATCAATTGTATGCATAATCCAGACCCATAGTGTATGTCAGAAAAATATCTCAACAGCCCAGGTGCTAGCTTGAAAATACATAAACTGTTGCTTTTTGCAGTTACCCTTTCCTTCCATGGTCCCTTAATGGTTTATTTTCAGTTTGTTCTGAAGTTGCTCAAATACAGAATGGTGGATAGACACACAGAACAAAAACTCTGCCACATTGTCATATTAACAACACACTGTAGTTTTGTTAAAGTGTATATAATATTCCACAATGTGACCTAATAATTGTACCAAAGGGTTTCTGTTCAGGACAAGGAAAAGACAAGAAAGGGCTAGTTGCCCACCTCCCCCACAGTACTGAGCAAGTAAGAGGCTCAAAATAATATTTTTATTATATTATATAATATTATATTATATATTATGGTATATTATATTAATAATAATGTATAATTAAGAATCTGGAGCCAGGTGGTGGTGGTACATGCCTTTAATTCCAGCACTCCAGAGGCAGAGGCAGACAGATCTTTGTGAGTTCAGAGCCAGCCTGGTCTACAGAGGGAGCTCTAGGATAGCCAAGGATTCTGAGAGAAACCCTGTCTTGAAACTCTAAAAAAAGAAAAAAGAAAAAGAACCGAGTTCTTTCCCTGGAACCCATAAAAGGCAGGAGGAATCAAATCTACAAAACTGTCCTCTGAAACCATTTCTGGAAGGTTACTGAGATCATGAGGTAGCAATATGATAAACAGATGCACAGAAATCTTAACAGGCAAACACACTTCTGAAAGTGAACAGATCTCAGGCAACAAAGGCTTTCAGTGAGGATGTGTTCATATTTATTTTTGTAAGTTGCAGTTATCAGGGCTCTTTACTGATACTAAATCAGCATTAATACATTCTTAGTCTCTCAATTTGCATATTATATAATTTATTAAGTTATCAAGCTTACATAAAGAACTGTCAGAATTTTAGTGACTATCACCAAATGTAACCAAATGTTGCTGGTATCAAAAGTTCTCGGTATATATTTTTCAAATGCTTATGGACTTCAAATTCTGTTTGATTCAAGCCCTGGTTCACAGGCTGGGATGACTTCAGGAGAAAATCAGAGGTGCTGTCACAGCACAGTGAATTTCAAATCATTTTATTCTTGTTAACTCCTAAAATCAAACCACCACTAAGCACTTGATACACAAATTGACAGTTTAAAATAGCTTGATTCTAGGGGATACCAAACTAAATCTAGAGCTCAGACATTTTAAATATATGAATGTAAGTCACCAAATAGTTTCAGAACTCACTTTTATGGGAAGTATTACAGCTTCTTTCGGGGAGTGAAGATTAAACAATGCATGCTTTAGCAACATGAAGATATTTTCCTAAGACAGGCATTTAATAAATACAAATATCTCACACTATGTCACCCAAAGTGGGAAAGTTCACAAAAAGCTCTTCATCATAAAATTCAAGGTGAAAACTGGCCAAGAAGTGTCAGAGCAGAATGAGGAACAGCACTGAGAACCAGTGACCTAATACACAGTGCTCATTCAAACAATCAGCCATAGAGGAAATGTAAAATGCAATGTAACAAAAATAGCACCTTTGAAGAAAATCAAGTCATTGATACAAACCTGAAAGACTGTTCTGAACTCCAAATCACTATATGAAGACTTTCTATAGGAGCCGGTTCCACACAAGCCAATCTGAATAGAGTGTGGAAGGTGTTGACAGCAAATACACACTAGACAGAACACTTACAGCCACAATTGCATCCACATGGGTGGCTACAGTAGGCAAAAGGTTCCTTTTCTTATCACACCTACATTAGCTCTAAAGTCAACCAGTCAATCAATACATTTTACCATAGGAGGGAACCTCTAAAGACCCTTTTTAATTAAAGAGGAAGTGAGGTTTGCTCTGTACGTCATTCTATTAAACAAGAAGTCAGGGGTTTTGTCGTGAGACTTTTGCTCCCCAGTGTAATTCAGAATAAAATGACTGTTTAGATGACAGATAGAAATAAGTACCGCAGAGGATTATCATACCATGGTTTCATAAGATACTTTCACAGGTCAAAGGAGCTTTCTCAACTAAAAATCTGGAAACAATTAATATAATCGGACATGTCTGTTAAACAGTAGGCAAAATAAGTATCAGCAGTTTGTCTAACCTCTTAAAATCCTTATGATTGAGAAAGTTGTCTTTGAGTGACCAATGCTCAATAAATAATGTCAACAGTCTAGAAAAATCTCCAGCGAACATTTTCCTGAAGCCAAGGATACCACTCAGTGGCAGGGCACTCACCCGAGGTGCACAAGTGCCTTGGCTGTGTCTCCAGCAACCCCACTTGGAGATTTTTATGTTTCTACTTTACATCAAGAGCTTACCATAGAAAATTATGCCTACCCTTCCAGATATTGCTATCAATGTTGCCCTAGAATTTGAAACAATGAATCAGGGGTTCTAATACATCACTTGCTACAATTTTGTGTTGGCTTTCATTTATAAGTAAAACATAAATGTCATTGGTAGGTATCATGTTAAATGAAACCAATTTCAACCTATTGATTTTAAAAGAAAGCCTTGCTCATATGTTGTAAAACATATTAGCAAAGGGAACAAAAAGTTCTTTTTCTCAGGTAATATATCCAATAGTTTTCTAAATGATTCGCCCTCACCCCTCACCCACCAGTTTCAAATATTTGCCGTTGTCAGAAATAGATGCGGCACAGCACGAAGACAAAGGCCTGGTAAACACGTTTTTTCCTGATATTTCAAGAAACAATACGATCCATGGTATTCATGAAGTTGTTTATTCTCATTATTAAAACTTGAACTCAAGTAATCCGGTTTTTCTGGAAAAAGCACCTTGTCTGTAGGGGTCGTTTAATCGTCCTTCTCTACAATCACCTCGCCATGCAGCACCTTTCTTCTTTGACGTAACATATGAAAATAGAGTTGAGGAAACACTTCATTGGAGAAAGAAAACAAAGAAGGATGAGCTCTTGCTTTAAACTGTGCTTGAAACATGTAAAATGTGAGCGATCAGCACTTTACATAGGACCCCTACACATACAACTTCCCAGTGCTTACGGAGCTCACCCTAAGGGCAAAAATGGAGTTCACACGCTGTGTAACACATACACTGCTGGAGGTTTCTCTGTCCTAGAAAATTCACATACCTTGATAAATATATTTTCCATAAGAACCTAGCGGCCATGTTTATTTTTAGAAATCAGTAACCCTGAAATATACCAGAACCAAGGAGATCGGGCCCCACTCTCTGCTTTTCTCTGCTCTGTTAACTGTATCCAGCTCCATGAGTGCCTATACGTGCAAGTGTATGTCCCAACATGCATCCAACTTTCATCCATACCCACTAGGAACAGCTGCCCCATGTTCTCAGGACAGCACACATTAGTGACACAGTTAACCTTTGGTCTAGGGAAGAGACTGGGCCTGGGCTGTGGCTTCAGATGTGTCTAGAGAAGAGTCATAACAGGTTCCTGATCAGACACTCCCCACAGCTGGACCAAAGGGGCTTCAGTCATGCACACACTTAAATATGTGTGTGGATCATAGCTGGGAACATGATTATCTGTGCAGGAAATCTGAGAAAATTTTGAGCTGATATGAATCAAGACTTCTGTTTTTGTTTTCAAGACAGCGTTTCACTGTGTAGCCCTATAGACCAGGCTGGTCTCGAACTCACAGAGATCTGCCTGCTTCTGCCTCCTGAGTGCTGGGATTAAAGGCATGTGCCACCACACCCAGCTGAATCAAGACTTTTAATCACAGCATAAAGGCCATTGGCTGAACAAGTATCCAACAGCTATGAACTCCAAATGTAAAAGTCTCCCAGAATGACAAGGAAATTAATCACAAAACCTTTCAAAATCTTCTTCAGGAAAACTTGGGGGAAAATATTTTCAAAAAAAAATTTTTTAATTTAGGCCAAATACTACAAGAATGTGGAATGGGTTTGATTTTTATTTATGAACTTCCCATCTTGATAAATGCAGACACAGTATATCTAGAGGTCTAAACATTCAGATCGTGTATATTTAAAGCAAACTGAGCAATTATGATGAACTCTCCTATAAAATCTGAGTAGTTTAATAAAAGGCACTGCATCTTGGGTACTTTAAAAACCATTCACTGAAATTCTCCCATCTGGAATGCCCTTACTAGTGAGTAAGAAACACATTCTCAGTACTAAAATAAACACTCAAATGTTACTTTTAATTATCAAAGCAAAATCAGTTGATTTCTCTAGTAATATCAGTAAGGATGTGGAAACACAGGCCTCTGATGGACCCATCTCGGGCAAGAGGGACCTCAGTGACAACAGGTGCAATGAGCTAGGAAGTTGCTACTGGCAGAGGTCAGACTTAGGTCTCCCGGGACACCTAAAAAGAAGGCGTTCAGAAGTTATAGGTTGAAGCTTTGAGTCACCTTCTCTTAAGATCTTGCTTTCTATGGCATAACCTCAGAGGTCACGAGAGGTGACCTCAAACAGCTTACATGATCACTGACTCTCTCTGCTTGTGGCACATTGCCCCCACCTGGACTCTCATAAAGCAAGGGGTGGGACAAACAGTGTACATCCATCTTCCTTAGCTCACCAGCACTTGCTAGGTGGTAAAGCAGGCAGATAAAAAAGACAGGGAGAAGGCATCCTCTGAATTCTTAGTCTATTTTGGCTTCAGAAAAGCTCCAAAGTTGGAGCTCTCACGGACTGGCCAAATTATATGCACATCCCCATGAAATAAGAGGCCTTGTAAGCCTGTCCACATAGAGTTCAGAACCTGTAAATGTCTCACTTCTACTTCCCACCGGCATCCACCTCTAATTTTACTGACAGGATGAATGAATCTTGTTGACTTAAAAGTTTACCACTATTAGTCCCTAAAAGAAGAGAATGAGGTCTCATCAAGTCATTGAAGCTGTTGGAAATGGCGAGAAATTAGTGGAAAGGCTGAATTATTCAAAACATTTTAAGAAAAGCAGCTTTATTCCTGTCAAGTACATGGAACAACACAAACAAGACCAAAAAAAAAAAAAAAAGCACTTGTAATAAATCTCAGGTACGCCAAATGGATAGAAATGATCTCAAGTTTGCTTGAGAATGCTTGTGATCCATTCACAGAAATGTAAATGCATGTCAGCTGTTCTATTGATGCATGCTTTTGGAATGATTTAGTTTTTCTGTTAACTATACCAGGCATACTTAAATGCTTCTGAGAAAGCAATCACGAGAATATTAATTTACTTACCTTTTCAAAAAATCAGTTAAAAAAAAAAAGAAAAATATCTGGCTCACTTCCCTTCAGTTATTCTAAGGACAGACGTGTTAATGCATTTTTGAGCAATTACTCCCCTTGCCCCTTGCTTTTTAAATTAGTTTAGTGTGGTATTCCAAACACTTGCATATCATACGTTAAATCAAAGTACTAAGAAACCTATACTTACACGGTATATATGAGGCCATGGTTATGAGAAGAAAATAGTAGTAGTCAAAAGAGACATTGTATTTGTTCGGAAGCCTTACTGAAAACATTCCTGACTTCTTCACGTAAGGCAAGGCAGCATATATTGTGAGAAGTTCCCCAGCAACTCCAACAGGATATAAGATGATAAAAAAATTATATCTGGAGAAAGAAAAGACAGATGATAGTTTTTCTAGGCCAGTTCTTATATTTTATAGCACATCTCTTCTATTGCTATTGTATTTAAACTTAGAAATCTCTCTGTATGCATTTGCAATATCACACACAGGTTGTTTTTTTAATCACCCTTTTTCTAATAGTAATTCCTATTCTAAATGACAACATAGGAATAAAATAAGTCGGTTAACTCTATATAGTATTCAAATATTTTTATAATTTATTTTAAAGTATAGATGCACATTTTGTTTGTCTGTTTTGGGATGTGGGAGTGTTATGTTGTCCAGGTTGGTCTTGAACTCCCCATAGCCTCAAGTGATCCTCCTGCTTCAACCTCCAAGTAATTGACATCACAGATGAGGCTACCATGCCTAACTACACAGCTCTGTTTATTTCATTTAAGTGTTAAAATAATTGTTTCTATGGGGTATATAGTTGTAACTGCTCCTTTCTTCCCTATAGCTGGTCATTTACTGATAAATGCTGAGCCTAAAAAGGACAAATTAGGACCTAGTTTGATAGTTTATGCTTCAAGGGACTAAAGCAGATATTTTAGGTTATTTGAAAAACTGTAATTAGTGAGTAAACATAGTTATTACTGAAGGAAACAGACAACATGACTTCAGTCACCAGCTACTAGAAATTAGTACACTGTGTATAACCACCTTCACAGCATGAGAATTTTTATAGGAAAATCATCTGCATTTTATTTAACCCCCCAGTTGGTATGAAAACACATCTATAAAGAAATGTCATATAACTCAGCTGGTCCAGTGCTTGCCAAGCATAATGGGGCTCTGAATTTGATGCCCAGCATTGAATAAACCAGACATGATAAAGCATACCTGTAATGCCAGTACTTTGGAGATAGAGATAGGAGAAGCAGAGGTCCAGCCTCATCTCCCAGTACACATTGAGTTCAAGGCCAGCTTGGGATGCACATCACCATGGGGAGGGGGTGTCAGGAGGGGCGTGTGAGGAGTGTTTAGAGACAGACAGAAAGACAGAGAAAGAAGAGATAGATAGATAGATAGATAGATAGATAGATAGATAGATAGATAGATAGATAGATCACCTGGATCCAATGTACCACAGACGTGGGAAGAGATATAGGTAGAACTACAGAGTAAGAGGGGAAAAAGCCTTTTGCTGTTCCTATTTATTCTTCCCTTGCTGGTTTATGCTCCTTTGGTCTTCCCAGTCTTGTATAATTTGTGCATTATTTAAATCACTATTTCCCACTTTACCTTTTATGGCCCTATAACCAGACTTTTATAATCCCTTTTCAAACAAAATACCTAATCTAATTTATTTTCTTAACTTCATGAAGCTTTCCAGTGAACTTTTTAATAGTATTTTTTTTTGAAACAGGGTTTCTCTGTAACTTTGGAACATGTCCTGGAACTCACTCTGTAGACCAGGCTGGCCTCGAATTTACAGAGATCTACCTACCTTCCTTTGCCTCCCAAGTGCAATTAAAGGCGTGCACCACTCACTACAGCCCAGCAATAGTATTTTTTAATAGTATTTTCACTCCCAGGGCTGGCAAGATGGTTCAGTGAGTAAAGGTACTTGCTGCAAAGCCTGATGTGATGACCTGAGTTCAATCCCCAGGACCCACACAGTGGAAAGAGAAAGCTAATTCACTGCAAGTTGTCCTCTGACCTTCACAGGAGCATCTGGAATGTGCAAGCACCCAAACACATACACACACACACACACACACACACACAAACACACATACACACACACAAATCAACAAAATGTAATTATTTTTTGTTTGTTTTGGTTTTGGTTTTCTTTGTTGGTTGGTTGGTTGGTTTTTTAAGGCAGGGTTACTCTTTGTAACCCAGGTTGTCCTGGAACTTGCTCTGTAAACCAGGATGGCCTCAAACTCAGAGATCTACCCACCTCTATCTCCCAAGTGCTAGGATTAAAGGTGCTCATCACTACTACCCGGTATCACTCTTAAATTAAACAAATAAAATTTTAAAAATAGTTGAAACCCTTAAGATCAGTGAAAATTCATGAGATGGGAATAAATTGTGTAATTTATTTTACCTTACTTGCACTAACTATGGGAAGCCTTGTTACCCCAAAGATTCCCAATTATTACCTAAAATTTCTTAGAGGAAATGTACTTCTGAAATTAAAATGGAAAAAAGTATGAAATCATAACCCAACATAAAATTATCCAGGAACACTTTCAACTCATAAATAGAATAAAGATAGTCAATAGTGATAGCAGGTCAAACTATAACTAAGAAGCAGTTTCTAAAGTGAAGTTTTATTTTAGAATAATGGTTTCCACATTTGAACTTAAATATGAATATTATTTTAGGTTGTTTAATAAACTTGCAAAATATATTCCATAGTTGCAGTTTTCAAGAGTGTCTGGACATGAAATATGATTATTGATGATTTTGGCTGGGTGTAGTGGCACACAACTTTAATCCCAGGAATTCAGGAGGCAAAGGCAGGCAAATCATTGTAAATTCAAGGCTAGCTTGGTCTTCAAAGTAAATTGTAAGCCAGCCAGGGTGACACAGTGACACTTTGTCTTAAAAAAAATACCATTGATGATTATAATTAAATGATACATATAGGAGGACACATATTTCAATGTTGAAAGATTCTATGTAAAACCTTTTGTTCTTGTTATTGTTCAATATGATCTCATATAATGCAGGCTTGGTTTGAACTCACTAAGTAGTAAAGGCTGGCCCTGAACACCTAATCTTCCTGCTCCACTCTGGAAGAGCAGGGACTATGGGTATACACTACCATGCCCAGATACTAAACCCCAACACTAATGAAATGATGGAAGATTCTAACACAGCAAGTTGCAACATGAAATAGCAGAGTTCTGTACTTTTCTAGAAATTTATAACATGCAAATACATTCCAAACAAGAAACTCAAGACACTAAGGGCTAATAGGCCTGATCTATGCAAACTTTGTAAACACAGTTCATGAACAGAGACGAAGTGCTGAGTTAGTATGTTTGAAAGAACTGGAAGTTCCAAAGATTATCATGAAGAACAGTACGGACATGCATTCTAAGATTAGGGCCAACTGCATGCAAAGCTTCAAACTTCTTTAAAGGCCTAATCCTTAAATGTGAATATATTTTCATATAGAACAAGAATAAAATGAACCTAACACACAACAGTGCAATTTTCTCAAGACAAATGATGAATAAAGATATAATGTTAAAGCATTTTATCGTATGTAAAACCGTAAGTCACAAATGTCTAAAAAGGAGCCAGAAGAATGTTTTCAAAGTCTGAGAGTCTCAAAAATACAATTAACAGTGACACCCCTGCATAATGGGATTATGAATAACTTTTAAGGTTTTATTTCTTTCTTTTGTATTTATATATTCTAGTAATGTACTATAGAAATGATCCCTGAAAGTATAGTCTTTATTTATATGTTCTAATTTATTATCATTAAACATGAAAAATACATGAATTTTATTTACTTTTTTACATGCATTGGTCTTTTGCCTGCATGTATGTCTGTGTAAATGTATCAGATCTTGGAGTTACACACAGTTGTGAGCTGCTACATAGGAGTTGGGAATTGAACCTGAGTGCTCCAAAAGAGCAGTCAGTGCTCTTAACCACTGAGCCATCTCTTCAGCCCCAATAAGTGAGTAATAAAAAAGTAATTATCTAAAAATATGTTAGGCTTTTACTATGGGAATCTAGAGCAGGCATGAAAACAGCTAGCAATTAAGCATGTATTAACACAAACGTCAGAGGTTGTTTTGTTTTTAAGACAGGTAGTGCTGGCAGGCTTGGGACTAATTTGACCACGATGGCTTTGAACCCACAGACATACACCTGCCTCTACTTCCCTAGCACTATATCCTAGTGCTAGGATGAAAGGCATGTGCCACTGGGCTTAAATATCAGCTTTTAAAAAATAGAAATAAGAGATATGATATTGTCTCTAATATCTTGTGGCATTATTTATAGTATCAGAAAGTTGGGGAGGATCTGAAGCCTATCAATAGAGATGTCCACTGTTCAGTGTTCACCATGGAATACTGTGTGGTAGTACCGGAGTACTAGAGTTGAGTGCTAGACTGATTGAGTACACTCAACTCATGCTGGTTTGAAAATGTACAAATGAGGGGCAGCCTCAGCGGTTAAGAGTGCCTGCTGTTCTTGAAGAGGAATGGAGTTTGGTTCCCAGCACCCATATCAGGGAGCTCACAAACACCTGTAACTCCAGCTCCAAGGGAATCTGATGCCTCTGGCCTCTTAGGGCACCTGCACTCACACAGATACACATGTATGTATATAATTAAAAATAATAAAAATAAATATCCACATAATAATACTTTAGAGCAATCAGCTACATTTTGAGTAAACTTTAATGTAACTTCCAAAATGGAAATGATACTTCCCCAAACAATAAGATAAATGACCAACTGAGATTACTTAAGGATATGGTTTGTTGGGAGGTGTTTTTACATAAACTATATTTTGGTGTTATTATTTGCCTATGGCCATTAAAACTCAGCTTTCAAGAATACAAGCTAGAACACTGCTAGTGACTCAAATGGCAACATTCTGGCATCATGGGGCTGTGACACAAATTTTAATTCTCCGGTGTTAGCTCGCTCAGCACACAGAGTTAGCATGCACAGGGCAGTGGGGAACTAAAAGGCAAGACATTGCCACCTGGCCCATTTAATGAAGTGCGGCAAGTGGTCGAGAAGACTGAATGTGTAGAAGGAATAGCGAGTGATCTCGGTCACAGTCCAGGAGACCAGAAAAAGCACCACGCTCTCTTCATTCTGGATCTGCAGATTAGAGAAAGCCACAGTGCTGTTGAACCTTGGGCTTTTTGTTCAGTGAGATTAGCATTTCCCTTCCTGAGATTGGCTGCCTTTTATTATAATGGGACACAACGCAGTCACCATTGTGTAAATGGTTGTAAATGTGAACCTTAGCTGTGTCCTCCAGGTGGAGTGGCTGACTGCTTACTGATACTTCCCACCCTCATTCCTCAGCACAGCCAGCAAGTGTACCATCCCAGGACAACATCATTGTCTTGAAAGCTGAATGGGAACAACTGACCCTTCCAACTTCCTATTAGTCACTAAATCATACACCCTCTATTGTAATAGTATGGTGGTTTGAATGAGAATGGCCCCCATAGGCTCATATATGTAAAGCTTGGACCCCAGCTGGTGGAAATAATTTGATTAGGAGTACGAGGTATGCCCTTGTTGGAGCAGCTGTGGCCTTGTTAGAAGAGGTGTGTCACTGGGGGGTGGGTTTTGAAGTTGCAAAAGCCCATGCCAGGCCCAGTGTCTCTCTCTGTCTCTGCCTGCTGTCTTCGAATGAGTATGTTAAACATCCAACTACTGTTCCAGCTCCATGCCTGTCCCTAATGATAATGGACCAACCCTCTGAAACTGTAAGCAAGCCCCCAATTAAATGCTTTCTTTTATAAGAGGTGCCTTAGTCTTGGTGTCTCTTGACAGCAATAGAACAGTGACTAAGGCAGATACCAACTCTCTAATCTGGTTGTTCATCTTTGTCCCTCAATTTGGGCATTATAATGTCTCAGTTGGACCATTAAAACCATTTCCCCAATTTTTTTTTCTTTTCTTTATTCTCCTCTCAGATGAAAGTTTTCTTAAAAATAAAACAAAGTGGGGCTGGAGAGATGGCTCAGAGGTTAAGAGCACCAATTGCTCTTCCAGAGGTCCTGAGTTCAATTCCCAGCAACCACATGGTGGCTCACAACCATCCCTTATGAGATCTGGTGCCCTCTTCTGATGTGCAGATATACATGGAAGCAGAATGTTGTATACACAATAAATAAATAAAATCTTTTAAAAAATAAAAATAAAAAAATAAAACAAAGCATATAACAACAACAATAATAATAAAATCAGATAGGTCATATGATTTGAAACTTAACATTGATCTCTCCTTGCTTAGCAGCCTAAAAAGGTAAATTCCAACACCTGAACACTACATAAAGGTCCTTACAAGCTGAGCTCTGCAGTTTCTCAGCCTCTCAGTTTCTCGCTGTGTTGACGCTACACTCCATATTATTTCCAGACGGTGCTTCGGAACTTCCATGGCTTTACACATGCTGATCCCTCTAATTAGAACTATAGTTTCCTCTACAAACCCTTTCTCATCTCTTTAGAGCCAGCTGGAAGATCATGGTCCCTGCAAACTTTCCTGTTAGGGATTAAATCTGAAATGTCCCCCACAAGCTCATATGTTGAATATACGTGGTAGTGGCACTAGTTGGAGAGGTCATGGAAACTAGCAGATGGGACCTAGCTGGAGGACACAAATCTCTGGGGCTAGACCTCTTCAGGTTACACCTGCTCCCTGGTCACTTATTCTCTCTGCCTCCTGTCTAACTATGAGTTGAATAACCTGTATCAAGTTCCTGCCACTAGGATGCTCTCTGTCCTAATGGCCCATGATCAATGATGCCAAGGACTATGTGCTGAAGCCTCTAGAACCATGACCTAACTCGAATCTCTTCACTGTTAAGTTGTTCCTGTCAGACAAAGTGTCACAGTGATTCAGCCAAACACATGTCCCAAACCTCTCCCATGTCTGCTCAGCCACTTGCTCACCTTCCCATTCTGATATTACTCTTTGGATTAACCCTTATCAGTCTGAACTGAAATGTTTCTCACTCTTATACATCTGTCAGTGCTCAGCTTACATATACCTTGTCTATGGAAGTCTTCAACCATTTCGTAGAAGAGACTACACTCTAGACAGATGACGTAATGCATGTTGTGCTCTTGTCTCAAACGCTTAAAAAAAAAATGCAACTACTTATTTAGCTTTTCTCCATCACAGGCTCCAGAGAGTAAGAACCACGCTGACAGCCACATTCTCAACACAGTGTCAGGCACAGAGTGGCTGCATAGCTGCTACCTCCTGCATGACCAATGTGTCCCAACATCCAGCACAGGGACAACTGTAGTTGCCTTATTCATTTCTGGAAATCCAGGAATTAGCACTTCCAGATGTGTAGAGTATGTTCAATACATGTTGGTTAAAGTAATTGGGGAGTTGTTGATAAACGTCAACCGAAAGCTACTGTTGGATAAAATCAAATAGTAAAATCAAGGGATAGAGCCTGGGGGGTGGGGGGGATGAAAGGACCTGGAGGTTCCTTTCACCCTTATCAGGAAGTCCACATTTCTAACTTCTCTTTAATAATTACCCTCTAGGTAGTGTTGGCTACCCGACTCCATCTTTCTTCTCCCTCCTTCTTCACATTCCCTATAGTTCTGGCTCAATTATTATATTCATTCACTGCCTGGAATGGTCTTTCTGCTGTTCTGTCTGTGGTAGTCCTGCTTTTGAACTGGTAAGCAACTAGTGAACCCTTGGGCTGTGTGTGAGGTGTGCACGGGGTACTGTCTGTACTGCAGCTCGGGTTAGGGACAGATGGTTTGTGTCACTTGAATGAAAGATCCCAGTCAAGAGGGCCAAAGTGCAGAGTAGTGAGAGGGCACAAAGTCAGTGATCTGTCCCCACACAGTGAGGCTCAGAGGAAATGGAGAGGAGGTTAGGTGTCAGTCCAAAGCACAGAAGTGACCAGAAAGGAATCTGCAGGACGGAAAGGGGGCCAGAGATCTGTCTTCAAGTGGACAGGAGATACGGAGGCTGTCAAGAAGGTCAGAGGGGTTGAGCTGAGAAATGTTTCTGACATGGGTTTAAAAGGCCCAACATCCTCTGAGAGACTTGCATGGTGTTTGTTTTGTCTACATGGTTGAAAGCACTAATTAGATTCAGCAATTAGGTCTGTCTGCTGTCATGTCTCCATAAGTAATGTGTCTTTTTTTTCCTCTAAGTTCTTCAACTTTAACTTTCAAATTTTATTTTAATTGGCAAATTAAAACTGCACATATTTATGGTATATAACATGCTGTTCTGAAATATGCATGCATTACAGAATGGCTAAATGAAGCTAATTAACTTGCTCTTTACCTTGGCATATTTCTTATTTATTTGGGTAAACACTTAAAATCTACTATCAACAATTCTCAAGTAGACATTGTCATCATCTATAGTAATCATGTACAACAACTCGCTTAAATTTACTCTTGCTGTCTGAGATTTGTATCTTTGGATTTAAAAATTATAACTTTTAATTCAGGTCTTTTATATTTGTACAGGTATGTGGAACTACATTTACTTTTGCCCATTCCTATAACACCTTGTGCTAAACAAGGAAAAGCAAATGAGTCATTTACACTGATGACTTCAAAGATTGAAAAAAAATAATGACTTGGTTAAGAAGAAACGTCATAGAAAAGAAAAAATTCAGTTGGATGGAAATGAATGTTCACCTTAACATCCCAAAAATGCAGGAGGAAGAGACGTTATGAACTAAATGACAGGATTGCCCGTTCTATAGCAGTGGAGAATCATTGCCCAATCATTCTGCACCCCAAAAACATGGCAGTGTTAATACTTTTGGTTTCTAAGAACAAAAAGCTCCCCTGTCACTCAGGTAGACAACATGTCTGCATCACTTACGGGTTTTATACTGTGAGTAATGAGCCATACCATGAAGATTCTTGAACTCACTTGGACCCCTGTCACAAGCACAGAAGTGGGTACAATTCCTGGAAGAGAAATCAAGTTAATGATTTCGTCAAAGGCAGCTTATAACAGTAGTATAAAATTAAAGCAAAAACTTACCAATCAGACAGTGGACTACCTGTAGGGAAATTGAGAAATCACAAGTCAATAATATGAACATTAAATACCATCAGCAGTGGTAGCAAACAAGCCCACAGGTGTTACATAATTAGCAAATTAGAATTTGCATTGTTAACTGAAGTATTTGCAAATAAACACCATAGCAGACTAACAATATATTGAAAAACTTACCTCAAGCAAAGCAAATGTTTGGAAAAATTTAAGTGTCTTCTGAATGCTTTTATATAAACCTCTGTGTGTTCCTTTTTCCATATAAAAGCGTACCATAGCAATAGCTAGAACCAACCACCTAGAGGAAATAAAAATATTTTACAAAGTTCTATCAAAACTAACATTACTTATAACATGCATGCAATTATAGCAGCATTATTTACTATTAGCAATAGCTAAAAGGTGGAAGCAACCAACGTATCGATCAGCGACTAAACAGATAATTTATGTGGACTATCAATACTTTGCTTCTACAGCACTAAGTCAATCTACAATGGTATCTAAATTCAAGCCCACCTTTTTTCATTCATTTTGCTTTCTGAAATATTCCAATATTAATATTTTAGATTCCTACCCATGAGAAGCTTTCCTTTAGGCCTAGATTATTATTTGGTCTTTAAAAAGAAGGGAATTCAATACATGCTATGACATAGATGGACCCTGAAGACATCGTGCTAAGGAAAATAAGCCAATCACAAAAGGACAAATACTGTATTTCATTTACATAAGGCACCAAGAGTTATCAGAGTCATAGGCATGGAAAGGCTGGTGGTTGCCAGGAGCTGGGAGAAAGGGGTGAATGGGCATTAGTGTTTAATGGATACAGAGTTTTGTTTGGCAGGATGAAGTTAGGGACATGAATGGTGATGATAGCTATACAAACTGAATGTACTTAAAGCCACACGACTGTTTATGTTACAAAGTTTAAGATGGTCCATATCATATGCATTTACCCCAATTTTAAAAACTCGCTAAATCCCTTGAAGAAATGCCAAAAACTGTACAATAATATTTGTGTTTTATCATTCTGAGTTAATTATCTTTTTTTAAAAAAAAGCATCCCAAGGGAAAAGATAACAAATAACATTCTATAGAAAATAGATTCTAGAATATTCTAGAATAATATAGAATTGTATACTCTATAGAATACACAATGTGCCAACTACTAACAAAACAATGTCTAGAATATTTTTGTTTTTCGCAATTAAGCTGACAGGATAATGGAAGTAGCTTCAGGTACCAAAAATGAGATTGCCAAAGCATTTCATAATTATATGATGGTGTGGTCCCAGTTTCTTTCTATTTCTGTGATAAACATTCTGATCAAAAGCAACTTGGAGAGGAAAGGGTTTGATTCAGCTTATACTTCCAGGTCACAGTCCATTGTGGAGGGAAATCTGGGCAGGAACTGAACCAAAAACCAAGGGAGAATGGCTTGCTGGCTTGCTTCCTTGTTCATGATCAGCTAGCTTTCTTTTTCTTTAGAGAGTCCAAACCCACCCACCTAAGGATAGTACCGCCCACAGTGGGTTAAGCCCTCCCACATCAATCATCAAGTACGGCAATGTCCAACATGACCACAGGCTACTCTGATCTAGGAATTTCTCAGTAGATTTTCCCACTGCCCAGGTGGCAAACTAACCAACACAAAGTCTCAAAACAAAAAGCTGTATTCATATAAAAATATATAATTTATATAGGCACACACAAAAATCCTTAATCAGAATCATTTGTTGATCTCCACTAAACAAAAACAATGGCTATGATATAAAAGAGATGGGATATTAGCCTGCTTTTTAAAGAGTTACTGTTGTTGGAAGCAGGGTCTTCCTATGTAGGCCTGGGTGGCCTAGAACTCACAGTGTAGACTAGGCTGACCTCAAACTCACAGAAATATGCCTACCTCTGTCTTCCACATGCAAGGATTAAAGATACATGCCACTACATCCAGCCGAAAGTTGATTTTTTTAAAAAAAAAAAAAAAAAAAGAGAAACAGAAAAAAAAACATATTGACCCTTGTCAGCTTAAAGATGTATGTTAAATATGCACTCTCCTCCAGGAGCTTAAATAAATATGCACTCTTCTCCAGGAGCTAACACTTAGAACCTACACTGTGGACAGCAGCTTTCTAGTACACACATCTCACTCTTCCTACAGTTCCTGGTGAGAGCTAACTTCTTTCTGTTCCCTCTCCACTCCTAACGTTCAAGAAAGTTGCCCTATCAGTAGCTTTTAAAAGTCTGGAACACTCCATCTCATGGACATGAGAAGCTATCCTAGGGTTTAAGACAAGGAGATATCAAAGTGTACAGTCAAATGGATTTCTGAGCTATATGACTATCATAGTTTAACTTTTTTTTTACTAAATGCCTTAAATATATTCCTACAAAAACAGCAGAGACTAGTGCAGACATGACAGAATAGAAGGACAGAGGGACACACATGCAGGACCACTCATTCAGCATAGGACATACTGACAAAATGCAGAAATATTGATTACAGCAAAGACATCTATGTTTCAGACTCGGTCATATACATAACCAATGTTTAGTCCTTGCAGTAAGCTTCTGAAGGATTACTCTCCTTTCCTGCTGAGGAAGCAGACAGAGACACATAGCTGAGCCAGCTGAGACCTAAGGCCACACTCTCAGAGTGATGTTAACTTATTAAGCTTACTGCTGAGGACATAGCTCAGCAGTAGATGGACAAAACCCTAGCCTCAATCATTAACAAAAAGGGTGCCGAACTTGAAGTAAGATAATGAGCAAGACTGGAATGGATCCTCTGAACTCCCAAAACCTCTGTTCTACCACATCGCAGCTTTATTTGATTCAGCTCATGAATCTGTAAGGGTCATTTATGGAATCAGTACTGAGCTAATTTAAAGCATTAGTTTGACCATGTTTTAGTGTTTTAGGTGCCTTCCCAACTCAAATTGAATAGACTTCATCCATCTTAGTTCTAAGTCCCCATGGTTCTAATAAAACCAGAGAGTTAATGAATGCATATTCATCCACATTTTTCATACACTTGTCTTTTGGAGGCAGGGACAACTTAGCCACCTATAAAATTTAAATTTGAGAGGCAGTTACTAAGGTAACAAAAAAGTCACCAAAGCATTAAGTATGCAGCACAGTTTAGACAGCATGTATGTGGTGTTTCAATTTTGGTACTGTCCTATAGGTGGCAGCATTGTACCAGCTACAGACTATACAGCAAAAATAAATAAATAAATAAATAAATAAATAAATAAATAAATAAATAAATAAATTAAATAAATAATTGAAGGCACTGCAATTGGAAAGGACCACCAGGGCATTTATTCTGACTCTATCTGATGTTCAGTAAAGAAGCCTAAGACCTTATATAAACTAATCAGAGCTCATTTCCCAAGCATACCCAAAGTTTCTCTAAAGGCCCTACATTTAGCCAACTTTGGGTGTCAGTTTAGCAATTAAAAAGAAAAAAAAAATCCATAAGCAATGGGAATTTCTCTCATTAGAAATTACTTTGGGAGGTGTTCTATTCTATTTTGCTTTTCAAATGTGCTAGGGATATTGATTTCATGAACTCAAATAGATTCAATCAGTCCTTGAGAAACCAGATTCTCAAGCCAGGTGTAATGGTGCATACCTGTAATGCTAGCTAGCACTCCAGAGGCAGAGGGAAGAGGATAGCTTCAAGTTCAAGGCCAGTTTGATCTACATAGCAAGTTCCAGGCCAGCCAGGGTTACATAGTGAGACTGTCTCAAACCAACAAACAAAACCACCAGGTTCTCTTTGGGCAAAAGCAAACGAACAAAAAGTGTTTCAAAGAAATTTTTGCTTGTTTGGGGTCCCTCATTCATGAATTCATCTTTCAGCAAGTATCAATAAGACAGGTAGGCACTAAGCTAGATGCTGAGGACTAAAGATAATTAGGACATGATTTCTTTTGCCCTGGGCACTAAATTAGCAAGTAAAGATTAAAGGACAGTGCTGTGACAAGAAACGTAAGCCAGGACCTACAAAATGAAAGGGTCTTTTTATGTTACTCTGGCTACAGTGTCCTTAAAAAGCTTATCTCTTTCTTCTAGCTATTTCTTTTTCTTCTAGATTTCTTAGACATTGGGTGGCTAGGTCTGCAGAGTGTCCCCACTGTCTGGATCTTGCTAATTGGATACCTTAGATCATTTACTATGTCCTGCCTCCTACATTCCTGTAAATTGGCAGTTAGTTCTAGGGGCTCTATCAGACTCTGGAAAGGGTACTTAACAAGTTGTTTGGTGTATTTCTAAAGGAGCAAACTATTTCTGGCTGTTCTTTCTTTGTGATGTTAGTAGCTATGGATACTCTCTGTCCACCATTTCAACCATTGTTGGAAAATGACACCCTGATTTGAAATTTCTTCTTTGTCCCACCTTTAAGTTAGTAATTACGCCTGCAGAAGAGATGGCCTCCGATTCTCACACAGCTGAGCTTTTATATACGATCCATTAGCACCTCTTGACTGCATTTCCTAGACCAAATTAATACTTCCTTTTGAAGCCAACACATGCTTTCACGGACTGTAACTAAGCACTCTTGCCAACAGAGTAAAACTGAAAGGTTCAGAGAAAACTAGACTTAAGCTTAAGACCACCTGCTCTTTGAGTACCACTGTTAGAAGATGAAAGACATGCTTCCACCAGAAGATATTTGCAAATCACATACCTGGCAAAAGGCTATTTAAAGAATTCTTAAAAGTTAATATTAGGAAACCAAACAACCCATCAAAGGAAAATAGTTGGCAAAAGATGTGAACAGATATTAAACCCAAGAAGACTTACAAGCTTGCCAGTGGGTAAGTCATGAAAATATATCCAGTATCACTGGTCATGAAAATAAAAATAAATTCACAATGAGAATATACATATACTTACTGGGTGGCTAGTTTTAGGTGGCACAGGCTAGAATCATTTAAGAGATAGGAACCTCAATTGAGAAAATGCTCCCATAATTTAGGCTACAGGCAATCCTGTAGGGCATTTTCTTAAACAGTAATTCGATGGGGGAGGGCCCAGACCCTTGTGGGTGGTGCCATCCCTGGGATGTGGTCCTGGGTTCTATAAGTAAGCAGGCTGAGCAAAGCATGAGGAGCAAGCAAGTAAGTAGCACCCCTCAATGGCCTCTGCATCGGCTCCTGCCTCCAGGATCCTGCCCTGTTTGAGTCCCTTTCCTGACTTCCTTCAGTGATGAACACGGATGTGGAAGTGCAAGCCAAATAAACCCTTTCCTCCTCAACTTGCTTTTGATCATGGTGTTTCATCACAGCGATA